CTGCATCGGCAGGCGGACTCTCAACCGCTGCGCCACCAGGGAAGCCCTGATTGGTTTTTGTATATTGATCTTGCTTCCAGGAACACTGCTGAACTCATTTATTAACTCTGATAATTTTTTTGTGGATACCTTAGGGTTTTGACCATGTTATCTGCAAATAGAGGTAGTTTAACTTCTTTCTTTCCAATTTAGATGCCATCCATTCATTCATTTATTCATTCTTGCCTAAAGGCCCTGGCTGGAACCTACTGTACAATATTGAGTAGCAGTGGCAAGAGTGAACCTCTTCGTCTTGTTCCTTATCTTGAGGGGAAAGCTTTCAGTCTTTCACCATTAAACACGTTAGCTGTGGATTTTTTTTTTTTTTGGATGTCCATTATCAGCTTGAGGATGTTCTAATTTGTTGAGCATTTTTATCATGCAAGGGTGCTGGGTTTTATCAAATGTTTATTCTGCATCTATTGAAATGTCTTTAATCTCTGGCCCTTAGAACTGTCCTTTAGCGTTTCTATGTCTTTCATGCACTGACGTTTTTGGAGAGTCCCAGCCAGTTTCTTGGTGCTCCCTCATGATTAGCTTCAGACTATGGACTTTTGACAGGAGTATCACAGAAGTGATGCTGTATTCTTCCCAGTGCATCTTATCAGGAAACACGTATGATGTTATTATTACCAGTGATGGGAAAAAATTAACTTTGGCCATCTAGTGTCTGCCAGATTTATTCATCAGAAAATTACTGTTTTTCCCTTTTGTAATTAATATGTTCATTAATAGGTAATTTGTGGGGTGCTCCTTTGAGACTAAATATTCTGTTCCTCATCAAACTTTTACCCATGGATTTTTTTTTTTGAAAGTTACTTTATTTTTATTTATTTATTTATTTATTTATTTATGGCTGTGTTGGGTCTTCGTTTCTGTGTGAGGGTTTTCTCTAGTTGGCGGCGAGCGGGGGCCATTCTTCATCGTGGTGTGCGGGCCTCTCACTGTCGTGGCCTCTCTTGTTGCACGGCACAGGCTCCAGATGCGCAGGCTCAGTAGTTGTGGCTCACGGGCCTCGTTGCTCCGCGGCATGTGGGATCTTCCCAGACCAGGGCTTGAACCCATGTCCCCTGCATTGGCAGGCAGATTCTCAACCACTGCGCCACCAGGGAAGCCCCTTACCCATGGCTTTTAACATGCACTGATGATCCAGTTGTTACTATGATGCTTGTCAAATGGTGATTTTTCTAACCATTCTCACTTCCTTTTACTGGTTGGTGGACGTGTTAACTTTGAGATTACCTGTTAGATGTCTAAGTGCAGGTGGTGAGTGGGAAGTGCAAAGTTCAAGGAAAGGTACAGGTTGTAGATTTAGGTGTAGGAGTTGTCAGTCTGTAGAAGGTTAAAGCCATTAGCAGTTGAGGGTCTCCAAGGGCCCATGTCCCCTGTTGGTCACAGGGCTTCACCAGGCCTGGGGTCCGCTGACATGTTTTAGAGACAAACCCTGGTGCTGACTGGGTCACCAGAGTGCCATGGCTCCATGGAGGCTGGGACTGGGGGCTCCTGTCTCATGGGAAGCTGGGTTCTGTGGAAGGAAGTGTCCTTGCTCTGTTCAAAGCTGGTAAAAGCCCTTACTACTTAACCTGGCATTCAAGGCTTGTCCAGCACCACCCCTTCCCTGAGCAGCAGCAGAGTCTTACTGCTTGCTGTGCCCTTCACTGCCACAGCTTGGGGAACTCCTGCTCATCCTTCAAAGCCCAGCTCAAATATTATCTTCTCTGTGAAGTCCCACCTCTATTCCCCGCAACAAGGTCATTCATTTAGAAAACAGTTCTTGAGGCTCTCCTCTGTGCTAGGCACTGAGACTAGTGAAAAAAACTATTCCTGCCCTCAGGGAGCCCATTGTTTCCTGGTGGAGACAGATATTCATAAGTAATCTCACAGATCTAAGCATCAGTGACAGCAACAAAGCAAGGTAAGTGAAGTGACTGTCCAGCTCCAAGAGTTAGAGCAGGGGGTTTGCACCAACCTGGCCTGGCTGAGGTGCTTTGGGAAGCTTTCACTGCAGAAATGCTAGCTGGCCTGAGAGCTGAGGTAAGAATAGATGCATTGGTGGGGGAGCCATGGCTCCCTGTGCAAGGTCTGAGGTGAGGCTGGAAGGCAGAGAGCAGGGGATGGGCTCCCATGGGAGATGTACCTAGAAAGGTGGACGTAGGCCTCCAAGGCCAAGGTGAGGAGGCCGGATTTTCTCTTGCTGGTACTGGGAAGGCTTCAAAGGGTCCTGAGCAGAGGGGGATTTTCGAGGAGTCCCTCTGGCTGCCATAAGGAAGAGGCAGTGCGGATCACATTGATTTTTCAGATGAGCCAGATTCATATCAGTAGGAGATACAACTTCATTTTTTTGTTTAGATTTTATTTATTTATTTATTTAGTGCCAGGTCTTAGATGCGGCATGGCATCTCTCAGTTGCGGCATGCAGACTTCTTAGCTGCGACATGTGGACTCTTAGTTGCGGCACGTGTGCGGCACCTAGTTCCCCAACCAGGGATCGAACCTGGGTCCCCTGCATTGGGAGCGCAGTCTTACCCACTGGACCACCAGAGAAGTCCTGATACAATTTCATTTTAAGTTTCTTTTATAAACCCCATTCCAGTGCTGGTGGTAGGAACTTCATCTCAGTTGGTCTGGGGGTCCTCATGGTCTCTGGATCTCAGGCCACTGGTGACAATGGCTTTATCCTGCTGGCCTGGCCACAAGGCCCCTGAGCCCTGTGCTGCTCCTGGCTACGGCTAAGCCTTCTTCCTCTGCTCTCAGGCTATGGGGTGGGGACTCCGAAAGGCTTGGGGACCCACAAACTTTTGGGGAGCAGGAGGTTTACAGGGGAACCTGGGCCTCCCTGCTCTCTGACCTGCAGCCTCTGGGTGGTTCTCAGGGACCCAGGGACGGTGAACAGTCTCCTTCTCTGCTCCCTTTCCTCTTCCCCAGCACCCTTCAGGAGGGTGCTTTCTGTCTCTGTTTGGCCCTGTTCCCTCAAGGATTGTGCTTTGGAAATGCAGAAACCGAGGACTCACTCCCAGCTTCTCTAGGAAGCTGCTGTCGGCCTTTCCCTGAAATGACAAATGCCTCCCTGATAGAACAGAGTACAGGAGATGGGACATCATCTAAGCCATCTTCTTGTTCAGACTGTTTAATCTGAGTCATGAGAAAACAGAAATCCAAATTAGGTAACATTCTCTAAGATGCTTGGATACTTAAAAAATGTCAATGTCATAAAAAAAAAAAAAGTGGGGAAACTGTTTCTGATTCAGGGAGACTAAAGAGACTTGATAACTGAAAGCAGCGAATGATTGATCCTTCACTGGATCCTGGATGGATACAAAGTAAAAGCCATGGAGGACATTCCTCCGGCACTCGGAGTGTGGCCCTGCTTTAGCTGGTATTGATGTCTGGGCACTAAGCGCCCTCCTGGGTAAGGGAGGTGCTCGAGGGTCACTCGTGTGTTAAATTAGAGTAATAGTGGTATTGTGCTCACGTAGGAATGTCCTTATTCTTAGGTGTCGCCTGGTGTATTTGGGGGTGAAGCAGCATGGTATGTGCAGCTTATTTTTAAATGGCTCAAGGTGAGGGGGATGTTTGTGTATGTCCCTGACAGGAACAATGCAAATATGGCAAAATCTTGACAGTTGGTGATTCTGGGTGAAGGACATTAAACTATTCTTTCAACTTCGGGAGGGTGGGCCTCTCCTCTGCTGCACCAGCAGGGCTGGGAGAGGGGGCCCAGGTATTATGATACAGGGAGTGCAGGACCCTCCCTGAGACCCTGATCTAACCCTCAAGGCCCCTCCCCTGCTGCCGCAGAAACACTCAGGCTCTGAAGGGGTAAAAGGGTCCACCCAGTTCCCCGAGGCCCGTCAGGAGTAGAGCTGGGCTGCTCGCTGGTCAAGTCCAGCGCGACTGCCTCCTGTGTTCACTCACACCTCTGAGTATCTGGCTCAGTGCCCAGGCAACCTGAAACCCGTCCACTTACCTTTGAGTCACCCTCAGCATGTCTCAGGGCAGGGGGTAGGTCCAGCCCCAGGAGTTAATCTGAGCCATCCATGGCCACTGGGCGCTCAGCCACCACTACCGGGATCTAGACATGAGGGCACAGCACTCCTAGCGCAGGGGGTCTGGCCCACAGGCTTCAGGGGAGCTCACGAGCGGCCCCTCTGGGGAAGGCAGGGCAGCCCGAACAAAGTTCCTGGGAAGGTAGTTCCCCTGGGCTTGAGGTCACCAGCACCTCCGCTGCGTTGTGCCAAGGGAGGAGACCAGGTGCCTGCAGCTCGGCCAGGCCCGAGAACTTTCTGAAACACATGTTCTTACCACCAGACATGGGCACCTGCTGTTCCGCCTGCTATCCCCTGCACCCCATCCCCATCTCCCAAAGCCGGTTAATACCCACTGTCTTCCAGCCTTGACCTGGGTTTGGCGGAGCTGTCATGGGTTCCCACAGCCTCACTGTGCTGCACCTCCTTTTCTACCATCTGCTGTAGACTGGAACTCACCTATGGCACGTTCCGTGTCTCCCCCACCGGGGCGTGAGCTCTATGAGCAGGGTAGGTGCTCAGGAAGTGCATCCAGTGCGTGTAACTGTCAGGGTGCAGGCAGCTGCTGGGGTACCGAGTGCCCCGTCCTGGGTGAAGCGCACGCAGAGTCGGGGTCTGCGGAGGGGGCGCGAGTTGTCAGCGAGAGCAGCCCATCTCAGCTCCCACATAGCGACGATGAAGCATTTATTTCTCTGGAGGAAGCTGGTCAGGCAGATGTTACACACTCATCTTTCGGGAAGGGAACCGAGAGCTTAGTTTTCTTGCTGGGGGTCACAGAGCTGGTGCCTGAGAGCGCTGGCATTACAGTTTGCACTCGTCAGCCTGTCTCCAAGGAGCTGCCACTTGGAAGGGGTCTGGCTGTCTCCTGGGGCGTCTACTCCACCCGCCTCATCCCAGTCTGGCCCGCCCCGCTGCAATAACACCATGAGCCCGTGGTGCACGTTACCTCATTTATTCTCACAACATGCCTGTGAGGTAGGGAGGGGCGGGGACTGTCCCCATTTTACAGAGGAGGAAGTTGAGGCACACAGAGGTCAAGTGACTTGCCCAAGGTCGCAGACGGCGGCCAAGCTGGAATGGGCCCTAGAGCAGGCCCCTGTGGCAGGTGCTGGACACGAGGGCGTCTCCAGTGCCGCAGCCGTCGTGCTCAGAGCTTGCTGCAGGCCTGGCCTCGCCCTCGCCCTCCCTGCCCCCCACCTCACCCTGCAGGCCTGGGCCATCGCAGCTCAGGGCTCATGACACCCTGGGAGTGGGGCTGGGGGCAGGGGAGAGAGAAGGATGACCAGGGTAAAAAAATAGAAAACTCAGAGGCCAGGCAGATGGGCCCATGGCCGGGGAGTGGGGGGCAGGTGAGAGACAAAAAAAGGGGGAGCTGCTTACACACAAGGTATATATTTTTACACACACTTGTACACACACCTAGATATAGTACATGTAAAAATATATGCTATTCACACACCCGCCTCCTGCCAGGTGCCCCCGAGAGCCAGCGGTGGCGCTGGTGGGCATGGGTGAGCAGAGGGGCGTTTGTTAAATGTACACTCTAAGGTCTATGTGCATATGTACACATACATACAGACACAGCCGCCCGCCCCTCGGGCACTGTACACAGGCTCGGCCAGGGACACGTGACCCCTGGAAAACGGGGCCCCTCTCTTGAGTGGCCCCTGCAAGTCACTCCAGGTCATACATTTTGCTGAAGGAAGAAGGGGCTGGAGAGAAGAAAAAGGCGGGAGTCTGGAGTGTGGTAAGCTGTGGTTTTTATCTCATTCCCACCCCCACCCCCCCAAAGACTTCAGCCCTCCTCATGGTCTCAGAGAGGCGAGCCACCCACCTGACGCTGCCTAGGGCTGGCAGATCACAGTGGGAGGGCTGCTTCTGCTGAGAGGAACCTGTATTTGCGTGTGTGTGTGCGCGCGCGCGTGCGTGCGTGTGTGTGAGCACTCGGTGGGGCAGGGGACGCGTGTCCATCTCTCTGTCCTCTGGGCTCACCCACAAAAAGGGCTGAGAACCAGAAAGCCGATAGTCAGGATGGTGACCCCTGTGTGAGCTCTTAAGGGAAAAGAGAAAAACATAAGAATGAAAACTCCAAGGTCAGAGCTGGGGTAGCCAGGAAAAGGAGGAAGGACATGGCAGGTGCCCAAGGCTGCCCTTGGGCTGTCGTCATCTTGTAAACAAGCTAGTTTAAGTTCTCATTAGATAGAGCAAGTAAAAAGACTGTAGTCTGGAGGCTGGGCCGGGGCGTTGCCGAAGTCCATCTATCTAGTCCACCACGGCCAGCAAGAGGAAAAAAAAGTTTTATAGTTTTGTGTTTCTGTTGATTTTTTTGTGTGAAGTCTTCATAACCTAAAGCTGGGAGGGACCCAAGAAAGCCAAATTGTGAGCCCTTATATGCGTCAATTTGAAAGTTGGCTCAGGGTCTCTAGACAGAATAACCACACTAAAGGTTGAGAAAATTTTGTTCCTTTCGCATTTAGTTTGTAGGTTTCTTTTTTTAATGACTTAAAATTGCTTGCTTCCTGCTTCCTGGTCTCAGAGCCGGGTCTGGGCCTCAGGGACATAAATCTCGATGCTGTCCGCGCTCTCCGTGGCTGAGTTCTGCCGCACGGAAGCTGCCCGCTTGGCCGCCAGGAGCCTCTTGCGGGCCTCCTGACGCTGCTTGTCCCCAGCGTCAGAGGCCTTGTCGCGGCTCACTGCCGGCTTGGATTTGGCTGGCTTCTTTGGGACCGGAGGGGGTAGTTTCTTCTCTTCCTTTAGTGAGACAGTGAGGAGAGAAGGAAAATAAAATAAAGGTGCCACCTTTTGTGTGGTGCTACCACCCACCGTATGCTGGCAGCTGGAGCCTCCACCCCAGCTTCCCCGCATCGGGCACAAGCAACACACATTTGGAATCAGGAAGCCACAAGAAGCGATGATGGTGGGAACAGCACAAGGCATAGGAGCAAGAAGCAAGCTTACAATCCTAGAATGTTATAGTAGGAAGGGACAGACAGATCACCTCTTCCCACCCTGCTCTGAACCACTGAGAGCCTGAAATTCACGCAGGAATCATATAGCCAGAGATGGGATTTAAATTCAGGGCCTCCGACTCCCAGGTCACATTTCACATGCTATTCTAGGGGATCAGAACTCACAAGGGCCACAGTCCAGTAACCAATAACCAAAGGGGTCATTGGGTGCCACTGTTTTACAGATGGAAGCCTGAGCCTCAGGGAAGAGGCTGGCCCAGGAGGCAGAATCGGGTCCAGACCCCTGTACTCCTGGCAGCGTGGTCCTAGGAGAAGGACCATTTTTCTACCTCCAGGGTTCCAACGGCTGTGTCTACGCTAGTGCTCTGGGCTGTGGGCATGTGTCTCCCACTTTCTGAACATGCAGGGCAGGAAGGCATGCTTCAGGGGGGGCAGCCTCAACTACACAGAGCGAGTGGCATGCTGGACGAGCGCCGAGCATGGACCCCGCACACTGATGGACGTGAGCCCCCAGCTCAAAGACGACACACAGAGAAGGGAGCCAAGCAGCACTGACCGATGTGGCCAGCGTTATTGCCGACCAGGAATTTGTCCCTGGACTTCCCCTCCGCACTGCTCCATGCTCACCTTCCTCTTCTCGGGGGTCTCCACCAGCTGCCAGCTGTTGGCCTTGAGGTGGTAGAGTTCATCAAACTTCATGCTGATGTCCTCGATGGACAGCTGCAGCAGGTCCCAGAACCCTGCCAGGTCCTGGGCTGTTGGACGTGGGTTGGCATCAGGGTTCTGTGGGACAGACGGGGATCAGTGGGGCAAGCAGGGCAGAGGCTTGTCCTGCACCCCATCCCAAGTACTGTCTCCTAGCTCTGCCAGCCCTGGTTGGCTTCTCTTGAGGCCTGGTCTTACTCTCCTGTTCCCAGGGTCGGGTCAGTATCTGTATGAGCGAATGAACCCAGTTCCTGATTACTGCTGGCCCTGATGGTGGAGAGCTTTGGGAGAGAGAGACAGTCCTATCATGAGAGTGGGTCCTGCACACACATGGGGACTGAGGCCTTCGCCACCACTGAAGGGCTACAGGGAGGAGGCAGGATCACTTCCAGGTGGGTGTGGTTCCAGAATCCGTGTGCTTTCTAGCCCATCATTCTGTTCTCTGACAGCACATTCCTTATCAGGACTTCCCCAGTGAACGCCCAAACCCCTACCAGTCCTAGAGACAAACACTCGCCACTGTCCTCCACCCCTGGGGGTTACACCACCCCTGCCAGATGGAAAGAGGCTCCACAGGAAAAGCTGCTGCCTAGCGGCAAGGGTGAAGGAGAGGGAAACCCACCAAGTGTCATGGTGGTGATTTCTTTAGTTCTTACCTTGACTGTCTTCTTAGATATAGAGTATGTTGTATATAAATAAATCAGTGCCAACTGATTTTTAACTTTCATGTGGCTGTTTTTACATAGAGTTCACTTTTCTATTTCAGAAGGTAGTAGAGCTCTGAAAGGACCATTCCTGGCCCTTTTCCTGTGCTAGGCACTGACACACACCACTGTCATCTTTCCAATGCCATGAGGAAGCAGCACCTTCTCCATGTTAGAGAGGAGGTCACAGAGGCTTAGAGGCTAATCCAGCTGGGGGATCTGGCTGGAAGACCCACTGTGGAGGAGGAAGAATCACACTCACCAAGTTTTGCTCACAGAGGCCCCGGAACTGCTGGAATTTCTGTGACATCAGTAGCTGGGCACTGCCCACAGCACTGAGGACTTTCCCTAAGACTGAGAAAGAGAAGGTAGAAAAAGACTGAGCAGAGCACAGGGTCTGCTGGGGTGGAACACAGGATCAGGGTCATGGCTTCCACCTCCCCTCCCCGCATTAGGACACCAATCATCATTTGGTGATGGCAGTCAGTCTTCATTTTATTTACACATTAACCCACTCTCACTGTGAAAAATGCACACCAGACACATAAAGTGAGCCCCGTCCCCTAGTTGCTAAGGACATTTTATGGCAATAAATTTAAAAACTAAGTTTAAATGGAAAAAATTTTCAGGAGAACATAAATTACTATCATAGACTCAAGAAGAAATAGAAAATCTGATTAGGCCAATAACTGTTTTAAACAACTGAAGCAGGAGTTAAAAATCTTCTCCAGAAAAAGGAACCAGGCCTATGTAGTTTTACAGGTGTGGTTTTACAAAACCTTCCAGGAATAGATAATCCTTGTTTTATACATTCAAATTCTTCCTGAGAGTAACTAAACAGAAAATGACAGCAAATTTCAGGAGCCTGAGAGAACATAGGACATGCCAAGAATAGGGCACTTTCATTATGAACATAAAAGTCTTAAAGCAAAGAGAATCCAACAGAAGCGTTCACCATGAAGTGTTCAGCCCAGGAAAACAAGGCTGAAATCTTTTAGTGTGATTTCCAGTTTTAAAGTGGTGGCAGGAAAACGGTACTACCTCCTAGCCCCCTTAGAAATCACTGAAAAGCAAAACAGTATAAACAAGAAATAAAAATACAAACTGTCTCCTGACAGAACTCTCGAACGTAGTATATGAGGAAGGCTGCCACATGCAGCGATAGCCACACAAGGAGGATTCTTGGGATTGAAAGGCTCAGATAAAGGTGGCAGTTCTGAGTTCTCAAATGTAGCATAACTTGAGAGGAGAAGCCAATAATCTCTTATTTGAAATAAAAAGGGGGTGTGGACTGAAGCAGGAGCGTTCCTGGACCTGGTTCAGCACCAAAGGTGGAGGGCAGGGGGACGAGGACGACACTGCATGGTAACCGCCCTCTAGCTGCCTGGGGAGAACACTAGGCTGAAGAACACACCCTGCACCCATCACCATGCCTGAGGAATTCCTGCCAGCCTGGGACACAGTCCTGGCTCCTCTCCCACAGTGGTCTACTTACAGCAGCTCATGAAGGAGGAATTCCACCTCATTCAGAAATTAGTTATTAAAAAGGAACCAACACAGGAGCTAAACATGTTATAGGAGCAGTAAATGGCAGATGCACATTCACCAGAAAGTTGTTGCCAGAGAGCAGATGAAAAGTGTGACATTTAGCCACAAATATTTAAACAGTAGTTCAAAGCAGAGATGAGGTACTCTGAAAAGAGATGCAAGACAATGGAAGGGGATAAAACATGAGCTCTGGAACTAGTGCAAGAGAAAAATCAGGCATCACAGAAACAAGGGCCATGATGGACACAGCACAAAGAATAAACCCTGATGAAAACCAATAAGGACAAGGAGGACAGGAGTGAAAAAGCTCCTGGCACAAAACACTTACACTGCTAGATTAACAAGACAAGGTGTCTTAAATGAATAGCTAAGCTGCTGGGGATAAAATGACTCCCCCACCCGCAGAAGGTAGTGGGTATATGTGCCTGGCTTGGTCTAAAGTAGGATAGGAGGGCTTTCCTGGTGGTGCAGTGGTTAAGAATCCACCTGCCAATGCAGGGGACGTGGGTTCGATCCCTGGTCTGGGAGGACCCCACATGCCGCGGAGCAACTAGGCCTGTGCGCCACAACTACTGAGCCTGTGCTCTAGAGCCCGTGAGCCACAACTACTGAAGCCCGTGTGCCACAACTACTGGAACCTGCGCACCTAGAGGCTGTGCTCTGCAACAAGAGAAGCCACAGCAATGAGAAGCCTGCGCACGGCAATGAAGACTAGCCTCTGCTCGCTGCAATTAGAGCAAAGCCCGCACACAGCAACAAAGACCTCAATGCAGCCAAAAATAAAATAATTTAAAAAAGAAAAAGTAGGATGGGAATAAGAGGAAAAGTCTCTCCTGAGAATTCCTAACCATAAGACTGCACTTAGGTACCTTATTTTTTAAGAAATAAAGGAAGCAACTAGATGTATTAAAAAGATGAGACTATTTTTAAAAAAGTGACTGAGAGACATGGAGGAGAGAGGGAGACTTAAAATACATCTATCAGAGTTCTAAAAGGACAGAATGGAAGAAAAGAAATTTATTCAGAGAGATGATTCAGAATATGAATAAAGGAACCATCCCAAACTCATTTTATGAAGCTAGATAACCTTGGTACTAAAACAGGACAAGGATGAGAAAGGAAAATTACCAGCCAAGTAATTCTGCCTTTGAAGAAAGGCAAAATTATTAAATTAGATATTAACAAAAGTACAACAGTGTACTAAAATAATATAACTCAGCTGGGTTTATTCTGGTAATACAAGACTGATTCAACATTAGAAAATTCTAATAACTTCTGATTCTATGAAAAACCAGTTACTATCAGACAAACTGAACCCTCCCATGAAGAAAAATTAAAAAAAATAAAACCTAAATAAAATACCAAAAACAACAAAAAAATCTCTTTCAAGGTATTAAAAAATTATCAAAGCAACCAGAATTTGAGAGGCTAAGATGTCAGTGAGAACGGAAACTATATTCAGCCAAGTCTGATATTCTGAACTGCTTTCTACCCCAAGGCATCTCCCAGTTTATAAGCAGCGCAAGGCTGAGGGGCTAAGAAGCCAAGCAGAAAGCGGTGGTTCAGAGCCTGAGAAGCTAAGCAGAACTTGTGGCAGTTCCATGGGGACAGGGAGACCAAAACTGGAATTCGGAGCTACCAGAGGAGACAGGACTTGGGGGAAAGTGCATCAGGCTGAGCAAAGCTTCCAGCAGTCTTAAGATGGGGGAGAAACAAAAATTGGAGCTCAGTGTCTGCCAAGGAGGACGGGCTTGGAAATACCCCAGGCTGTCACAAAACCCAGCTCTGAACCAGCTCAATCCCATATTAGATTAAGTTGGTCTGGCCCTACTCTAATTGTCTGCAAGAAGCAAAAGTAAATTTGTTCTCAAAGTATAGAAAATCGTCTTCAAAAAAAAAGAAGAAAAAAAAAATCATCCTGAGCTTCAAGTTATCTCTGTAGTTTTCATATACAGTTTCTGGCATTGAATGAAAATTACCAAGCATGCCACGAGGTAGGACCAAATGACTGCACACCAAAAGAGAAAAATCAGCAAAAAGTAAAAGAACTATAGGGATGTAGAGGTATAGGACCAGGGCTTTAAAATGACTGTGAATATGTCCCAGAAAGTATATGACATGATGAGGAATTTCAGCAAAGAACCAGAAATCTATCAAAAAGAATCAAATGGAAATTCTAGAACTAAAAAACAGAGTAACTGAAATTAAGGCTGCAATAGACTCTTCAATAAGTGGTGCTGGGAAAACTGGACAGGTACATGTAAAAGTATGAGATTAGATCACTCCCTAACACCATACACAAAAATAAGCTCAAAATGGCTTAAAGACCTAAATGTAAGGCCAGAAACTATCAAACTCTTAGAGGAAAACATAGGCAGAACACTCTATGACATGAATCACAGCAAGATCCTTTTTGACCCACCTCCTAGAGAAATGGAAATAAAAACAAAAATAAACAAATGGGACCTAATGAAACTTCAAAGCTTTTGCACAGCAAAGGAAACCACAAACAAGACAAAAAGATAACCCTCAGAATGGGAGAAAATGTGTGCAAATGAAGCAACTGACAAAGGATTAACCTCCAAAATTTATAAGCAGCTCATGCAGCTCAATAACAAAAAAACAACCCAATCCAAAAATGGGCAGGAGATCTAAATAGACATTTCTCCAAAGAAGATATACAGACTGCCAACAAACACATGAAAGAATGCTCAACATCATTAATCATCAGAGAAATGCAAATCAAAACTACAATGAGATATCATCTCACACCCGTCAGAATGGCCATCATCAAAAAATCTAGAAACAATAAATGCTGGAGAGGGTGTGAAGAAAAGGGAACACTCTTGCACTGCTGGTGGGAATGTGAATTGGTACAGCCACTATGGAGAACAGTATGGAGGTTCCTTAAAAAACTACAAATAGAACTACCATATGATCCAGCAATCCCACTACTGGGCATATACCCTGAGAAAACCATAATTCAAAAAGAGTCATGTACCAAAATGTTGATTGCAGCTCTATTTACAATAGCCCGGAGATGGAAACAACCTAAGTGTCTATCATCGGATGAATGGATAAAGAAGATGTGGCACATATATACAATGGAATATTACTCAGCCATAAAAAGAAACGAAATTGAGCTATTTGTAATGAGATGGATAGACCTAGAGTCTGTCATACAGAGTGAAGTAAGTCAGAAAGAGAAAGACAAATACTATATGCTAACACATATACATGGAATTTAAGAAAAAAAAAAAAGTCATGAAGAACCTAGGGGTAAGACAGGAATAAAGACACAGACCTACTAGAGAATGGACTTGAGGATATGGGGAGGGGGAAAGGTAAGCTGTGACAAAGCGAGAGAGAGGCATGGACATATATACACTACCAAACATAAGGTAGATAGCTAGTGGGAAGCAGCTGCATAGCACAGCGAGATCAGCTCGGTGCTTTGTGACCGCCTGGAGGGCTGGGATAGGGAGGGTGAGAGGGAGGGAGACGCAAGAGGGAAGAGATATGGGAACATATGTATATATATAACTGATTCATTTTGTTGTAAAGCAGAAACTAACACACCATTGTAAAGCAATTATACTCCAATAAAGATGTAAAAAAAAAAAAAGACTGCAATAGATAGGTTTAATAGATTGGTTACAGCTGAACTATAAAATAATCCAGTAGAAAATATCCAGACTGAGGTCCAGAGAAAGAAAAAAAAAAAAAGGGAAAATACAGAAGAGAGAATGAAGAAGCATAAGATGTGGCAGTCTAAAATATGTGTAATTGGAGTCCACAAGTAGAGA